ATCGCTGTCATGTGGCTTTTACTGAGGAGTGTCTTCCTTCTGGCCACTCTACCATAAAGGCCTGATTGGTGGAGTGCTGCAGAGATGGTTGTCCTTCTGGAAGGTTCTCCAATCTCCACAGAGGAACTCTAGAGCTCTGTCAGAGTGACCATCAGGTTCTTGGTCACCTCCCTGACAAAGGCCCTTACTCTGTTTTGCCGGGTGGCCAGCTCTAGGAAGAGTCTTGGTGGTTCCAAACTTCTTCCATTTAAGAATGATGGAGGCCACTGTGTTCTTGGGGATTTTCAATGCTGCAGAATCTGTACCTCGACACAATCCTGTCTCGGAGCTCTACGGACAATTCCTTTGACCTCATGGCTTGGTTTTTGCTCTGACATGCACTGTCAACCTTATATAGATAGGTGTGTGCCTTTCCAAATCATGTCCAATCTATTTAATTTACCACAAGTGGACTCCAATCAAGTTGTAGAAACATCTCAAGGATGATTATCTCTTTTCATAGCAAAGAGTCTGAATACTTATGTAAATAAGGTATTTCAGTTTTTTATTTTTTATTAATTTGCTAAAATTTCTAAAAACCTGTTTTCGCATTGTCATTATGGGGTATTGTGTGAAGGTTGATGAGGATTTTTATTTATTTAATCCGTTTTAGAATAAGGCTGTAACGTAACAAAATGTGGAAAAACGGAAGGGGTCTGAATGCTTTCCGAATGCATGTAAATATTTTCTGAATATTCTTGAAATGTTCTGAGCACCTCCAAGACAAGGTAAAATGTGTATTGCGTGAACATCAATGGAATATTATGTTAAACCTAAAACAAATATGCTATCAACGTCGTAAAAACTGACTTTTTTAATTCTCACAACATTAAGGGAATTTACTGTGCAAGTTAACTTAACCTCTTAAGGATCTGACCCTTTTTTTAAAATTTTTGCCTAAAATGACTGCTCTAACTGCCTGTAGGTCAGGACCTGAAGCAAGGATATGCATATTCTTGATACCATTTGAAAGGAAACACTTTGCAGTTTGTGGAAATGTGAAATGAATGTAGGAGAATAATACACATTAGATCTGGTAAAAGATAATACAAACAAAAAAACATGCGTTTTCTATCATTTTTTTGTTCCATCATCTTTGAAATGCAAGAGAAAGGCCACAATATAATATTGCAGTTCAAGCACAATGTAGATTTTGGCCACTAGATGGCAGCGGTGTGTGTGCAAAGTTTCAGATTGATCAAGTGAAGCATTGCAATACTGGACTGTCTGGCCAAATGTGCCGAATTGGTCAATTGATACATTTTCAAGTACATAACTATAGAGAACATACAAAAATGATATGGTAATACAAAATGTACATATACACACTCCTAGGAATGTGAAACATGATGGATCATTAGCGTATACACTAACTTTCACACATCTAGATGGCCGGGCGGGGTGGGTGTGGAGCCAGAGCCAGCAGGGGTTCAAACTGTAGAACCCAGTTCCTACATTTGAATATAAAAATGGATTTTATCAAACAAAACTATGCTACATTTTATCTCTGGGACCCTTAGGATGACAAATCAGAGCAAGATTACTGAATGTAAGTACATTATTTACCTTCAGAGGTGAATGTATCAAACCAGTTGCCGTGATAATTTTTGTTGTTTTTGTGCACTCTCCTCAAACAATAGCATGGTATTTTTTCACTGTAATAGCTACTGTAAATTGGATAGTGCAGTTAGATTAACAATAATTTAAGCTTTCTGCCCATTTAAGACATGTCTATGTCCTGGAAAGTTTGCTGTTACTTACAACAGTCATGCTATTCACATTAGGGCACGTTAGCTCAACCGTCCCGTATACGGGACACCGATCCCGTAGAGGTTAAACATTGTATGATTGTCATCACAACTGGGCAGATTTTGTGTTTTGGAAACCTATCTTTTGTAATGTACCCACAATGTTCCCACAACCTAATTACATGTTCTGGGAACCTTAAAATAACTCAGAAAGGTTGTTTCGTCAACATTCTTGCAACATCAAAGGAATGTTTTGTGCACCCTGATACAAACATTGTCTGAATGCCAGTTCAACTGGACAGTTATTGCGTTTTGGGAACATACAATATCTCTTGTCATGTCCCCACAATGTTACCACAACCTAATTAAACATTCTGGGAACCTTTAAAGAACAGAAAAACATTTGTTCTGGGAACGTTCTTATAACATCAGGGGAATGTTTTTTGTACCCTAAAATAAACATTGTAGAATGATCTGCACAACTGGACAGTTTTGGTGTTTTGGGAACATATCGTTTGTGATGTCCCCACAATGTTCCCTCCAGACTGTTTCCACAACCTAATGAAACTTTCTGGGAACCTTTAAAGAACAGACAAAATGTGTTCTGGGAACGTTCTTGTAATATCAAGTGAATGTTTTTTGCACCCTAAAAGAAACATTGTAGAATCATCTGCACAACTGGACAGTTTTTGTGTTTTGGGAACATATATTTTGTGATGTCCCCACAATGTTCCCACCAGACTGTTCCCACAACTTAATGTAACATTCTGTGAATTTTTAAAGAAAGAAAGCGGACATCTAATTAGCATAATAACAACATCCCCATCAAAATCCATCTGTTTAAGCTAGAGATATCTGTTTTGGGCTGCATCTCAATCCACCACATCCGCCAATGACGGCCTTACACATCTGCGGTGGAAGGTGGCCGAGCTACAGCGGTGTTGTCAGACCATGAGACATCCCGAAAAACGGTCTTCTCACAAAAACGTCTGTAGCGTCCGAACGGTTTCACGACTTGATGGAAAGATGAGACTTTCACAAACACGATGGTTTTCTCCATTTTGCTCTACGACCCCCCACAAGCCTCACAAGACTCGTCTGAAGGTAGCCCGGTACCAGTTAAAAAAAATATGGAAGTACATATGGAAGTAGTTTAGTGCCAACTATTTGTTGTTAAATATGGGGAAAAAAAGATATATAATAATTTCCTGATATTTCTTATATCTCTCAGATATAGGACAGACACTTTAAAACAAACGTCCTTTTGACTATCTGTTTTTCCATGTATGAATCTGTTAGTCAATGTGTTCCTATGGGCTAATAGCAGTAAGGCCAAATTCAATGTTTCATCAAATATTTTTTAAATATATTTGTTTCAGTGGAGTCTGCTGAGGGGAGGATGGCTCATAATAATGGCTGGAACGGAGTCAATGGAACGGTATCAACCACATGGAAACCACATCGTTGATGTGTTTGATACCATTCCATTCACTCCATTCCAGTCATTATTATGAGCCGTCATCCCCTCAGCACCCTCCACTGATTTGCTTGATACCTAAAGGGGTCCTAAAATTCTAAATCAAATAGCTGAATGATTCTTGGTATAACCATCTTGGTTTGAACCCCCGGCTTAGACTCTTAAGGATTAAATGTGTTATAGGAACGTTCTTGCAACATCAGGCAAATGTTTTATACAAACATACAAACTTTTGGGGAATGTTCTGTGGTGGTTGTTACAGATGTTGTGCACAACATTTCAGTGAATGTTAGCAGAACATTCCAAGGATATTTAGTCTAAAACATTTTTGATAAATAAATAGATTTTTTATCATAAATATTCTCTGAAGGTTATCATCCTAATGTTAGATAAAACCCTAACTAGAACTTAATGGGAATCTTAGCTAATGTTCTGGGAATGTTTGCTAGGTAGGTAATAAAAACGTATGAGTTAACATGCTAACGGTTTTGAAAAAGTTCACAGAACAATGTTTACAAGCATGCCGGAAATGTTGAGGCAGGAGGAAGCAAAGCAAAGTTGCCACGATTCCAGTCATACCTGCACTGTTTGTTCCAAATCCCTCTCAGCCTAACAGTCATTCCATTGTCGCTCACGAAACCCATAGATTGTCTATGTAAAGCCATGTTGCAATCAAACAGACAACAGGTAGCCTACCAGTTAAGAGCATTGGGCCAGTAACTGAAACTTCGCTGGTTCGAATCCCCGAGCCAGGAGGAAAAATCTGCCGTTCTGCACTTGAGCAGTTAACCTCCAACAACAACTGCTCCCTGGGCGCCTATGATGTTGATTAAGGCAGCCCTGCACCTCTCTGATTCAGAGGGTTTGGGTTAAATTCAGAAGACATGTTTTGGTTGAATGCATTCAGTTGTGCAACTGACTAGGTATCCTCTTTCCCACCTGTGGATGGATTGTGTGATGCAATCAGAATTACTTGGCTTTGACAAACTAATGCCTTCCTGTATCATTACAGTGTCTGCAGATACCTATTGTCTGTATGAAAGTAAACCACCACTGCACATTCTCTTATTGAAAGGTCAATGTTGTAAAATGATCTATCATTTCCACTAGTGGCTCATAAAAGCCTTTGTTTACCTACTCTATGGTGGGAATATTGTATTCTGAGGCACTCATTGAAAATGACCCTATTTCACTATATCAGGCATTCTACCAAAATGAGTCACAATCAATAGAGAGAATCCTACCATTTAGCATTCCATTTACAATGTGGACAAACAGCTATCACAACATTTCTTGGCTCAAAGGAACACGCCCACATTAGTGCCTTTAAAGGTCCAACAAAAAGCAGTTGTCAGAGTTATTTTCAGCAGTCTGTCTCTGTGACTCACCTTGGAAACCTGCACTAACCCTAACACAAACTGGTATTTCATGAGGGGGTAAGAAGAGAATCATAACAATACTATTGGTAAGAGAATAACAAACCTCTTCATTATTTTCATGCAAAGGGGATAAAACCTTGATATGATTAAGGACACACAACCAGCTTACTTCTGTTATGCCTTGTTTTAGTGTAGAAAGAGTACAAAACATTAATCTTGCCTGTTTTCTGGTTATTTCCTATCTTGTTGTCTATGTAGATTCATAATGAGCTGTTACTTTTGTACATTGTACATAATTCTTAGGTGGGGATCTAAGACAACCCTGTCACATTCTTCAGGATAGAAAAAAATCTAATGATGGCAGGTAAAAGAGTTTGGTAAAATGTTGAGAATTGCCGTATGATGTATCTGTATGTGTTATATGTGTCTGTTATTCTGAAATGTATCTATTCTGTCTTTTTTTGTAGACTATGGTGACCCATGTAACAAGTTAGAGGCTTTCTACTGTATGAATGGAGGAACATGTTTTAAAATTCATTTTATGGACACTCTTACTTGTGTGTAAGTTACTCTCATGCGCTCCACATTTCCCCCCATCACTATTTTCTAATGTCACTAATAGTTTGTCAGCCATAAGCAGGTGTAAAGTGATGCTTGGCAATGAGCTAAGGAAGTTCTGGGAACTACTGCATGGTGTTTAAGCTTTTGTTTTACTTCAGCTCAGACCAGGTAGACCTACCCTGGCTCTTGGTTCTCAACTGTTGACAGCTTGCTTGAGAATAACGCTGTTCCTTCTCCCTCAGCTGCAGTGAGAACTACAAAGGCAGTCGGTGTGAGCTGTACCAGCTGTTGATCACTGCACATGATGCAGGGGAGACAGGACTGATCGCTGCTGTGGTCATCATGGTCCTTCTTATTCTAGTCGTGTTCACAGTAGTTGTCTACTACACTTGCAAGTAAGTAACACATTCATTTAGCTTGATTCATAAATACACAAGTATGCAGGAATAGTGCTTTCAGGTCTGATACAGTTTCTTCTACTGTAGGTCTGAGACATTCCTTGTATTTGTGTTATTGTTAGGGTATGGAAGGCCAAACCAAAGATCCAGCAGAAAAACAGTGAACAACAGTATTGGAGAGTGGAGCCCAGAGTCTGAGGCATGTTGCATATTATTTGGATAACAAAAGATTTCAAATAAAATATTTCATGGACGGTGGCGTGATATGGTGTGGGGTCTGGATGCTATTAGAGATGCGGCTATGAAGGACCAGGAGGACAGAGGAGACTTCCAGCCACAAACATTTTGCAAACCTCAAGCTGCAGCCTGTTTGAGTGGCCATCAACAGCTGAAGCTGCTGTAGACACACAGCCACACACCTTTTCTCCAGTCTGTGTGACTGGGTGTAGGACTGATTACAACCATTTCATGCCAATGGCTATTTTCCTCTGACACAGAATGGATGCTTAAAAATGGAAGACTGATACCTGATGCCTTCATTCAAAGGAATACTATGACTGTACAATGTTTGCTTAGTCTTTGCTTTGACTAACAGATAAATAGTTGAGTGTGTCGAAGTTCAATTGTGAATGTGAGCTTTCTCTGAGCCTGTTATACCGTAGATTAGAGTATAGTAGGGTAATAATTAGAACACTTCGTTTTAATGTAGAATTACAGTGGGGGGAAAAAGTATTTAGTCAGCCACCAATTGTGCAAGTTCTCCCACTTAAAAAGATGAGAGAGGCCTGTAATTTTCATCATAGGTACACGTCAACTATGACAGACAAAATGAGAATTTTTTTTTCCAGAAAATCACATTGTAGGATTTTTTATGAATTTATTTGCAAATTATGGTGCAAAATAAGTATTTGGTCAATAACAAAAGTTTCTCAATACTTTGTTATATACCCTTTGTTGGCAATGACACAGGTCAAACGTTTTCTGTAAGTCTTCACAAGGTTTTCACACACTGTTGCTGGTATTTTGGCCCATTCCTCCATGCAGATCTCCTCTAGAGCAGTGATGTTTTGGGGCTGTCGCTGGGCAACACGGACTTTCAACTCCATCCAAAGATTTTCTATGGGGTTGAGATCTGGAGACTGGCTAGGCCACTCCAGGACCTTGAAATGCTTCTTACGAAGCCACTCCTTCGTTGCCCGGGCGGTATGTTTGGGATCATTGTCATGCTGAAAGACCCAGCCACGTTTCATCTTCAATGCCCTTGCTGATGGAAGGAGGTTTTCACTCAAAATCTCATGATACATGGCCCCATTCATTCTTTCCTTTACACGGATCAGTCGTCCTGGTCCCTTTGCAGAAAAACAGCCCCAAAGCATGATGTTTCCACCCCCATGCTTCACAGTAGGTATGGTGTTCTTTGGATGCAACTCAGCATTCTTTGTCCTCCAAACACGACAAGTTTAGTTTTTACCAAAAAGTTCTATTTTGGTTTCATCTGACCATATGACATTCTCCCAATCCTCTTCTGGATCATCCAAATGCACTCTAGCAAACTTCAGACGGGCCTGGACATGTACTGGCTTAAGCAGGGGGACACGTCTGGCACTGCAGGATTTGAGACCCTGGCGGCGTAGTGTGTTACAGATGGTAGGCTTTGTTACTTTGGTCCCAGCTCTCTGCAGGTCATTCATTAGGTCCCCCCATGTGGTTCTGGGATTTTTGTTCACCGTTCTTGTGATCATTTTGACCCCACGGGGTGAGATCTTGCGTGGAGCCCCAGATCGAGGGAGATTATCAGTGGTCTTGTATGTCTTCCATTTCCTAATAATTGCTCCCACAGTTGATTTCTTCAAACCAAGCTGCTTACCTATTGCAGATTCAGTCTTCCCAGCCTGGTGCAGGTCTACAATTTTGTTTCTGGTGTCCTTTGACAGCTCTTTGGTCTTGGCCATAGTGGAGTTTGGAGTGTGACTGTTTGAGGTTGTGGACAGGTGTCTTTTATACTGATAACAAGTTCAAACAGGTGCCATTAATGCAGGTAATGAGTGGAGGACAGAGGAGCCTCTTAAAGAAGAAGTTACAGGTCTGTGAGAGCCAGAAATCTTGCTTGTTTGTAGGTGACCAAATACTTATTTTCCACCATAATTTGCAAATAAATTCATAAAAAATCCTACAATGTGATTTTCTGGATTTCTTTTTCTCAATTTGTCTGTCATAGTTGACGTGTACCTATGATGAAAATTACAGGCCTCTCTCATCTTTTTAAGTGGGAGAACTTGCACAATTGGTGGCTGACTAAATACTTTTTTTCCCCACTGTATAAATATACAGTACCAGTCAAAAGTTTGGACACACCTACTCATTTAAGGGTTTTTCTTTATTTTTTACTATTTTCTACATTGTAGAATAATAGCGAAGACATCAAAACTATGAAATAACACATATGGAATCATGTAGTAACCAAAAAAGTGTTAAACAAATCAAAATATATTTTAGATGTTAGATTCTTCAAAGTAGCCACCCTTTGCCTTGATGACAGCTTTGCACACTCTTGGCATTCTCTCAACCAGCTTCATGAGGAATGCTTTTCCAACATTCCCCACATATGCTGAGCACTTATTGGCTGCTTTTCCTTCACTCTGCGGTCCAACTCATCCCAAACCATCTCAATTGGGTTGAGGTCAGGTGATTGTGGAGGCCAGGTCATCTGATGCAGCACTCCATCACTCTCCTTGGTCAAATAGCCCTTACAAAGCCTGGAGGTGTGTTTTGGGCCATTGTCCTGTTGAAAAACAAATGATAGTCCCACTAAGCGCAAACCAGATGGGATGGCGTATCGCTGCAGAATGCTGTGGTAGCCATGGTGGTTAAGTGTGCCTTGAATTCTAAATAAACCACTGACAGTGTAACCAGCAAAGCACCCCCACACCATCACACCTCCTCCTCCATGCTTCACGGTGGGAACCACACATGCGGAGATCATCCATTCACCTACTCTGCGTCTCACAAAGACACGGCGGTTGGAAACCAAAAATCTCAAATTTGGACACATCAGACCAAAGGACAGATTTCCATCGGTCTAATGTCCATTGCTTGTGTTTCTTGGCCCATCAAGTCTCTTCTTATTATTGGTGTCCTTTAGTAGTGGTTTCTTTGCAGCAATTCGACCATGAAGGCCTGATTCTCCTCTGAACAGTTGATGTTGAGATGTGCCTGTTACTTGAACTCTGTGAAGCATTTATTTGGGCTGCAATTTGAGGTGCAGTTAACTCTAATGAACTTATCCTCTGCAGCAGAGGTAACTCTGTGTCTTCCTCCAGTTTCATCATAGCGCTTGATGGCTTTTGCGACTGCAGTTGAAGAAACTTTAAAAGTTCTTGATATTTTCCGGATTGACTGACCTGCATGTCTTAAAGTAATGATGGACTGTCGTTTCTCTTTGCTTATTTGAGCTGTTCTTGCCATAATATGGACTTGGTCTTTTACGAAATAGGGCTATCTTCTGTATACCCCCCCTACCTTGTCACAACACAACTGATTGGCTCAAACACATTAAGAAGGAAATAAATTCCACAAATGACCTTTTAAGAAGGCACACCTGTTAATTGAAATGCATTCCAGGTGACTACCTCATAAAGCTGGTTGAGAGAATGCCATGAGTGTCCAAAGCTGTTATCAAGACAAAGGGTGGCTACTTTGACGAATCTCAAATATAAAATATATTCTGATTAGTTTAACACTTATTTGGTTACTACATGATTCCATGTGTGTTATTTCATAGTTTTGATGTCTTCACTATTATTCTACAATGTAGAAAATAGTAAAAATAAATAAAAACCCTTGAATGAGTAGGTGTGTCAAAACTTTTGACTGGTACTGTATTTGTGCAACTTTCATAAAAGTCAAACATGAAGTGAGTATTAGTTACAGTAAGCAACTTCCTTGTATTATTTAATGAATATAGAAAGTGTACATCATTTGCGATATCAAAATCACAATAAGAAATCATGTGATTGTGTATGAGGAAACAACGCATTGTGTTTTCTTCAGTAATCAATGTCAATGAAGTCTATTGAAGTAATGTAATTGAGCTATAAGTAAGGATTATAATTTCCGCTATAAATACAATGGTTTACATTGGGGTACTGGCATTCATGGGAGGTTCATCAATGAGTCTGAATCATAGATAATTCAGATAATATAATCTCCATAAATGTCACCAGTTCCATTTCAGATGCACGTGAGACCTCAACCAACAGATGGTGCTAAGGGTCCCTCATCTCATATGAAATACTTGGAGTCACGTTCATGTATTCATGGCTCAAGAAGACCACCCCCATTTACCCCTCTGCCACGGAGGTGTTTTATAAATGTGACAGGTAGTAATGAGGGAAACTAGGGTTGGGGTCAATGCCATTTCGATTCAGGAGACGACCCCAACAATTTGATCAGACAGTACTTAAGACCTAATGCAAACGGCTGACTATCGTTAGACTTGACTTAGTTTCAAGTCTCTCAATAACATCATGCTCTTTCCACCAAGCATGACCTACAATTGATTTGCTGAAGTAGAGAGAAAGTAGATTAAACAATTGAGGTACTTATCAGTATTAAAAAGACTGTGGAAAGATCTCAATTGCATACTCCTCGCGTACTCTCTCCTCATCTCCTTCTCAAAACCCATTGGATGAGTAAATCCAGAGATCCTGTCCCGCTGACCTTCTCCTCCAATGGTTTTTGAGGAGATGAGGCGAGAGGACGCGAGGAGTTTGCAATTGAGATCTTGGCCTTTTCTCAATTAGATTTGCTCAACTCCTGCCCCCTCTCTCATTCGTCCTCTCTCGCCTCCTTTTGAAAAGTTCAAAGGTAATGAGTGGTTATTTGTGATGCAAGGTGAGTAAGTTGGCAGTCGCCTGCACTGTCTGCTGCAATGTCAAACAAGCCCAGAAGCTCCTTCTCCACTCGCGTGTCATTAGGCAAATGACGTTGATGGGGTGGATCCCAAAATAAATGTGTAAAGTGATAAATACAAATTAAGTTAGTTGTGTAAGACATTATATAGATAAAAGGATCAGTAGCATATCGTTTTTAAATGTGTGCATGCTTTCACACAGCTGGAGGTGTGGCAGATATCAAAACTTCCGTGGTAGAATACACTTATGCTTCCTTGCCAAAAGGAGGCTATCGAGGAGGGGAGGACTGTCTTCCGTTTGCCTACTAACGAATTGACCCACTCTTCGACCACTTATCGGTTTCCGGGTCACAGATAAGAGAGGAGGGAGGAGATAGGTCGGACTTTTTCCCAAATGAGAAAATACCCTTCATTGTGTGACTTCAGAAGTCACTGGTTCCTATTTATAGAAAAGCAGTAGACTGCTGCCACCTAGTGGTGAGTAGTCTGTCAATTGCACAAAGGTGAGAATGGTTGTCACTTATTTTCATCAAGATTTACAACATTAATACCAAATTAATTACTTATTATTCAATCCACACCAATGTTGAACACTGTATTTTTTTTTTTTTTAACAAAAAAACAGGCAGACGTATAAATGCAGTTTCAAATTCAAATATACAAATTAATGCTGTTGATAAATCATTCATCCATCAGAAACAATATTGCAGTGCATTGATACTTTGTGGTAGTTTTAAGTATTAACTCTCATTAGCCTCTGGCTTTGTCAAACTCATGGGCGATCTTCAGTGCTGTGCTGTCGAGTCCCACAGACTGCATGTTAGTGATGATGGTCACCACTATTCCCTGAGGTAGGGCTGTAGTCAGTCCTTTGGGCTGCTGGGCACTGCTGGCCTCCATGGCACCCCCTGTATGTGAGATATAATGTCTGTGGCTCCTGCACTGGCTGTACTTCTGCTCCTTCTCCACCACCAGCCAGACCTGTGCATACAGCCCATCCTTATCCCAGGAGGCCTCTGTCTTGTCCACCATGCCCACAGAGCCTGGGCTGTCTCTGGTTTGAGGAAGCCAGGCAGGAGGTCTGTGCCGTCCTTCAGGTAGGCCACTTGGTAGTTGTAGAGCAGAGCATTCCCAAACAGGAGCAGGTCTCCCACAGTGGAGAGAAAGCCACCTCCTGCCCACTTATAGGAGTTATCCACGTAAGGGCAGTTTACTGTGCGTCCTTTCTTATTGAAATGATAAAACCTGCAACAAAAAGTGCAAAACTTGTAAAACATCTGAAAAAACTACTCAGAATTCAAAAGCCAAGCTTATCTTACACCAAGTTACCACTGAATGTAACATGCTGTGGAGATTGGTCACAGTGTTGAGGATGCCCAGTTACCTGAACATCTTCATTATGTGATCCAGCAAACGCTGGCCTGCAGCTCTCGCCACCACGACACTGAGGAGGGTGAAGGTGTGGGTTGAGTACAAAAAGTGGTGCCTGCAGATGACAAAACCAAGTTTACTTTCATGTCAATTCATTTACATACACATAGGATTCAATTTGTTGATTTGATTGACAGCCACAACTCTTACATGGCACCTACCAGGTTTGAAAGAGGATCGTCCTTGAAAAGATCCACGGCTTGAATGACCCTGTCAAAGCTGTCTTTCAGGTAGTACTCATCTTGCACAAATTCTTTTTTCTTCTGGCCCTATTTGGTTTCCTTGCACATGGTGCTGCTGTCCTCTGTCTTTGGTTTCTCTTTGAAATAAGATTAGTTATTTTCCTCTTTACCAGGCAGTTTCAAAGGTCATTTGGCCTTCTCCCTGTCCTCCCTCACTTATTAGCGTCCTTCTTCTAGTGCCGTATGCCACTCAGGTGAGAGAATCAGCCGTGGGGTTATAGTCACCTGGAAATCAAAGAGAAAAGACAGAACTTTGATAAATCAAAATCAAAATATTGACACTGGTGGGAAAAGAGAGTTCAAGGTGAGAGGATCATGTTTGTTTGATAGAATGTATATTTCATGTAACTTCTCAGGAACTCAACTTACATCTTCTCCCTGAACTCAGGGACGTATTTCTGGACAGGGGCATCTAGGTCCAGCTTCCCCTCCTCCCACAGCTGCTAGTTAGGGGTTTACTGATGCTGGCGATCCTCAGCACCGTCTCTGGGCCACATGGCACACAATTTTCCAAGTCAGCATAGCCAAGTCCTTCAACATGGACATCAGTTAGTTAGGAGCATGTCTGAAACAGCAGCATTATGCATTGTATTAATTTCTGAACATATGAGGAGTAAGTATATCACATCTACTACAGTGAACCTAAAAGTACTGCATTGCACCAACCTTCACACCAGACTTGAGTGCCATCCACAGATACACAGACCACCAGCCCTGGAGCCCCAACCTCATCCTGTCACACCAAGCAAGAAAGAGGTGATGGACAGAGATACAGACAGATTATAAAATGAACATGTTTAAACATGATGAGGTTGAGCTGCATGCACCAATAAACGGAATGTTATGACGTTAAACTTAACCAGTTCAGGATTTAAAAAACTCCAAATACCTGTACCTTTATCTGCTGAACAAGGTCTCTGCTAACTTGAATGGCAGCACCATATCTTCCAGTCTGCTTGAAGTCCTCTTCACACAAGAGCTGAACTACATTAGTGCGATATTTCAATCCCAAAGTTAAAGAAATCCCTGCACCAATTCCCACAATCCAAAACCTATGCCACAATTCAAAACCACTGGGAACTCAGAAATCTCTGACTTCCGACTTCAGTGCGTTCAAGACAACTACAGGAACTCTGAAAGAAACGAGTTCCGACTGGTGAAAATCGTTTTGAACGGTCATCCTGATCCAACTCGGAATTCCAAGTCGGAAACACTGGCATCTTTATAGAGCTCCGAATTTTTGACCTGAAGATCACTGACATCAAGATTTGATCAAGTGTTTTTCCAAGTTCCCAGTTGTCTTGAAAGCACCCTAGACCTACACAGTCTACGCAACAGATCCGACGGAGGTTTGTTTGCGTAGCTCTCTAAGTAGTTCTACGTACTTACGTGCGGCTGAATTTTCTGAACGCGACTGGGAAATCACTTTGGAGAGCCCACAGTGTAAAACAGAGTAGTTACTCAATGTGAAAGTCCGTAAACTTTTCTCTTTTGCTGTTCTAACATGACAAAGGCCTGTTGTTTTGACAGCTGGAGGCAGCGAGTCTGCGGTGTCAACAAAGAGTAGTAGCGTGTGTAAAATAGTATATAATGGTACTTCTCAGAAAGTATTAAACTGTCAAGAGGAGTAAAACAAGGTTGACCAGTATTGGCATGTCTATTTATTATGGCCATCAAAATGTTAGCTATTAAAATCAGATCCAACAATAATATCAAGGAGCTAGAAATCCAGGGCTTAAAAACAAAGGTCTCATTGTACGCTGATGATTCATGTGTTCTTTTAAATCCACAATTTGGATCCCTCCACAGGCTCATAGAGGATCTAGATAATTTTTCTAACCTCTCTGGATTACAACCAAATTAGGATAAGTGTACTATATTATGTATTGCAGGGTTTCCCAAACTCGGTCAAGCCATAGAAAGTTGCTTGCAATTTCAGTTTAATCCACCAGAAAAGACAGAACAAATATTACAGCAAATATTATGGTTAAACTCAAATATACTAATTGATTTTTTTTTAAAACATTAGTTTTGGAAAACAAATTTAAAAACTGTATAATCTTTGTAAATTAGATCATAAATAAGACTGGTGAAGTTATGTCACACCTGCAGCTAACACAAATATATGGAAACGTCTGCTCTATCCAAAATTACAACCAACTAATTGCAGCATTACCGCAAAAATGGAAAAGGCAAGTGGAAGGGGGAGAAAGTAAGGAACTTGTCTGTCGGCCTTGCATTAAAGACCAAAATTGGTTTAAAAAATTTGTGATAAATAAAAAAGTATACCAGTTTCATTTAAGGACCAAAAAATGTACAGCAGTGCCATACAGATTGGAAAATAGTTGGAAAGAGACTTTCGATGTACCGATTCCATGGCACATAGTTTATGAACTGATACACAAAACGACGCCGGATTCAAAACGTAGAGTTTTCAATGTTATACAAAATTCTTGCAACCATTATAATGTTATATACTGTATATGGGGGAGACAACCATCCCAGCTCTGCAGATTTTGCTGCAAAGAGACAGAATCATTAGATCATTCATTTTGGTACTGTCCATATGTAGCAGGTCGCAAGTTCAGGAATGGCTGAAGAATTGCAACATTTACCTGGAGCTAACTCTTCAAATGGCACTGCTGGGTGATTTGAAAAGTCATAGTCAATCGATCAATAATGTACTAATTAATACTCTTGGCAAAATGTTTATCTTTAATTTACAAACTGTGAAAAAATTATGAGAACATTTGTGAAATATCACAGCACAGTTGAAAAATATATGGCAAATAGAAATCAAAACTGGATGGTGTTCAGAGATAGATTGGAGGGGTTGAGGATAGCTGAAGGATGGGACAAAAAACAAACAAAATATATTATTATTTTACTAATGTAAAATATATTGCATCCGTTAAATGTATGTAGCATGTACAGTACCAGTCAAAAGTTTGGCCACACCTACTCATTCAAGGGTTTTTCTTTATTTTTTACTATTTTCTACATTGTGAAGATATCAAAACTATGAAATAACACATATGGAATCATGTAGTAAACAAAAAAGTGTTAAACAAATAAAAATATATGTTCTATTTTAGATTCTTCAAAGTAGCCACCCTTTGCCGTGATGACAGCTTTGCACACTCTTGGCATTCTCTCAACCAGCTTCATGAGGAATGTTTTTCCTACAATGTAGAAAATAGTAAAAATAAAGAAAAACCCTGGAATGAGTAGGTGTCCAAAATGTTGACTGGTACTGTATAAGCTGGAAGTAGAAGCCTAAGTGTTGTTGTCCATTAGTTTACTCCAATTAGGGGAGGGGTGGTAGGGTTAGGGGAAAACAATAAAGGAAAAAATATAAAATATATACATATTTAAAATAACATACAGTGCATTCGGAGAGTATTCAGACCCCTTGAATTTTCCCACATTTAGTTACGTTACAGCCTTATTCTAAAATTGATTAAAAAAATATATATATATATATACACTACCAGTAAAAGTTTGGACACACCTACTTATTCAATGGTTTTTCTTTATAGAATAATAGTGAAGACATCAAAACTTCTTCAAATAGCCACCCATTGCCTTGATGACAGCTTTGCACACTCTTGGCATTCTCTCAACCAGCTTCATGAGGAATGCTTTTCCAACAGTCTTGAAGGAGTTCCCACATATACTGAGCACTTGTTGGCTGCTTTTCCTTCACTCTGCGGTCCAACTCATACCAAACCATCTCAATTGGGTTGAGGTCGGGTGATTGTGGAGGCCAGGTCATCTGATGCAGCACTCCATCACTCACCTTCTTGGTCAAATTGCCCTTACACAACCTGGAGGTGTGTTTTGGGTCATTGTCCTGTTGAAAAACAAATGACAGTCCCACTAAGCGCAAACCTGATGGGATGGTGTATTGCTGCAGAATGCTGTGGTAGCCATGCTGGTTAAGTGTGCCTTGAATTCTAAATAAATCACAGACAGTGTCACCAGCAAAGCACCCCCACATCACACCTCCTCCTCCATGCTTCACGGTGAGAACCACACATGTGGAAGATCATCCGTTCACCTACTCTGCGTCTCACAAAGACAAGGCGGTTGGAACCCAAAATCTCAAATTTGGACTCATCAGATCAAAGGACATATTTCCAACGGTCTAATGCCCATTGCTCGTGTTTCTTGGCCCAAGCAAGTCTCTGCTTCTTATTGGTGTCCTTTAGTAGTGGTTTCTTTGCAGCAATTCGACCATGAAGGCCTGATTCATGCAGTCTACTCTGAACAGTTGGTTGAGATGTGTCTGTTACTTGAACTCTGTGAAGCATTTATTTGGGCTGCAATCTGAGGTATAGTTAACTCTAATGAACTTATCCTCTGCAGCAGAGGTAACTCTGGGTCTTCAAATCCTGTGGCGATCCTCATGAGAGCCAGATTCATCATAGCGCTTGATGGTTTTTGCGACTGCTCTTGAAGAAACTTGCCGGGTTGACTGACCTTCATGTCTTAAAGTAATGATAGACTGTCGTTTCTCTTTGCTTATTTGAGCTGTTCTTGCCGTAATATGACTTGGTCTTTTACCAAACAGGGCTATCTTCTGTAAACCACCCCTACCTTGTCACAACACAACTGATTGGCTCAAACGCATTAAAAAGGAAAGAAATTCCACAAATTAACTTTTAACAAGGTACACCTGTTAATTGAAATGCATTCCAGGTGACTACCTCATGAAGCTGGTTGAGAGAATGCCAAGAGTGTGCAAAGCTGTCATCAAGGCAAAGGGTGGCTACTTTGAAGAATCTCAAATCTCAAATATATTTTGATTTGTTTAACACTTTTTTTGGTTACTACATGATTCCATATGTATTATTTCATAGTTTTGATGTCTTCACTATTATTCTACAATGTAAAAAATTGTAAAAATAAAGAAAAACCCTTGAATGAGTAGGTGTGTCCAAACTTTTGACTGGTACTGTATATAGAAATATTATTTGCAACCCCAAAAAATTTAGGGATTGGAAATTATGCAGACAATTACATTGATAGAAGCCACAATATATCTGGAATATTGAAGCTGATTTCCCCCCTAAAAAATGAATAAAAATAATAATAATAAAAAGAGTAGTAGCACACGATCACCGCAGTGTCAGTGTAGCTGTAGGTGGGTGTGGTGGTGGAATCAGGCGCAGGACGCACAAAGTAAGTCCAAAAGACTTTAGTGGTTTAGCAATAAACACAGCATGAAAATCAATGCCCTGAGGCGAGAAACTCCGCACGCAGGCGAAAATAAAACGGGTGCACTAAACACGTGCGACAAAATACTCCAAAATACAAATGGAGAGCAGCTCAACCGAGCAAACTGTATAGACACAAGCAATACGCACGACAGTGAAAACAATCACACACAACACTAGACAAACACAACGAGAACTTATAGGACACTAATTACACTAAACGATAACAGGTGTAACAACAATCAGACAAAAGCAAACGAACATAGAAACATGCAACGGTGGCAGCTAGTATTCCGGAGACGACGAACGCCGAAGCCTGCCCGAGCAAGGAAGAGAGGCAGCCTCGGCCGAAACCGTGACAGTACCCCCCCCTTGACGCGCGGCTCCAGACGTGCGCCGACTCCGGCCTCGGGGACGACCAGGAGGACGCGGAGCAGGGTGCGTCGGGTGCCCACGATGGAATTCCGTCAGGAGAGACGGGTCCAAAATGTCTCTCCTCGGCACCCAGCACCG